CAATCCGGGTCCTCATTTTACCCACCTCGGAAGGATGGAAGGCTGAGTCAACCCTGAGCCGGTGAGATTTGAACCGCCGAACTGCAGTTAGCAGTTAGCTGAAGTGGCCTGCAGTACTGCACTCTAACCACTGTGCCACCTCGGCTCTACATGACTACATAGCCACGCCCACCCAGTCACATGACCCCACCCCAAGCCATGCCCACCAAGCCACACCCACAGAACCGGTAGTTTAAAAAAAATTAGATTTCACCACTGGAAAAATCGTTTGGTACTCTTAGTTTTTGGTACTCAGTGCGCCTCCCGGAGTCAATTAGCCACCAGGACCGATGAATTCTTCAATAGAGCGTATCTGTTGGATTAAAATAAAACCCGGTTTTATTCTAGTTTACAGGAATCGGAGATTCAGCTGCTGCAGGATGCCAAACGTTTCTCGGTGAAGCTGGAAGAGCAGCAGCAGGAGCTTGAGAAAGCCGAGGAGTTTCCAGAAGGCGCCACCTCCGAGGTCTCCAAACTGAGGCAGCAGTACCTGAGATACTTCAACGAGTACAACGCCATTCAAGAGAGAGAGTTTGAAATCCAGTATAGGCTGACTAGGTAGGTATAACATTTGGCCCACTGCCTTTTTCACAAAACTCCACCGAGGGTTTTCTTCCAGACTGCCAGGTAAGTAGAAAGAAGAAGGGAGAATTCAGCTCCCCCTCAACTTACAATTGAGGCCGGCGTTTCTGTGTTTAAGCGATAGCGTTGTTATGACTCTTCCGGCCACAGCTGTTAAGCGATTTGCCACGCTTGTTCAGTTAGGAACGTGGTTGTTAAGTGAATCAGGCTTCCCCATTGACTTCGCCCATCAGAAGCTCGCAACAGGGGACACGGGGACTGTCCTGAATCGGAGTCAGTGCCGAGTGTCTGAATTTAAATCACGTGACCGTGGGAATGATGTAACGGTGGTAAGTGTGAAATAACAGTCATAAGTCAGTTTTTCCAGGGCTGTTGTAACTTCGAATGGTTATTGAGAGGGGAGAGCCGAAGAAGAGGAAGAGGAGAGAGGGAGAGGAGGGGAGGAGGAGAGGGGATAGAGAGGGAAGAGGGGGTGAGGAGAGAGGAGAGAGGAAAGGAAGAGAGGAGAAAGGGGAGAGAAGGAGAGGAGAGGAAGAGGGGAGGGGCGAGGAAGAGAAGAGAGGAGAAAGGAGAGAAGAGAGGGGGAGGAGGAGAGGGGAGAGAGAGGGAGAGGAGGGGAGGGGAGAGAGGGAAGAGGAGGGTGAGGAGAGAGGAAAGGAAGAGAAGAAAGGAGAAAGAGAGGAGGAGAGGAGAAGAAGAGGGGAAGGGCGAGGAAGAGAAGAGAGGAGAAAGGAGAGGAGAGAGGGAGAGGAGGGGAGGGGGGGAGGGGAGAGAGGGAAGGTGAGGAGAGAGGAAAGGAAGAGAAGAGGGGGAAAGGAGAAAGGAGGAGAGGAGAGGAAGAGGGGAGGGGCAAGGAAGAGAAGAAAGGAGAGAGGAGGAGAGGAAGAGGGGAGGGGCAAGGAAGAGAGGAGAGGAGAAAGGGAAGAGGAGGAGAAGAGAGGGGAGAGAGAGAGGAGGGGAGGGGAGAGGAAAAGAGGAGGGGAAGGGAGAGGAGAGGAAGAGAGAAGGGGGCGGGAGAGAGGGAAGGAGGGGAGAGGGAGGGAAAGAAAGGAGAGGGAAAGAGGAGGAGAGAGAAGAGTTCCTATCTGAGCAGGAAATACTGGAAGAGGACAACTATCAGAGGAAGTCAAATTGCTTAATGTCAAAGCCGGGAGCAATATAATCAGCACTTTTATTATCAGTTAATAAGTAATAGAAAATAGGTCAAAACACACCGGAAAGCCCTACAGTGAACTTCAAAAGAAGGACATACAAATTGGGCAACAGTACCAAATTGGCTTAGATTTCAGAAAATAATATTTTGATGTTGACAGAGCCTGTTGAAAAAATGCCTCGTCGTTCCTTTCTACATGTGGCTAGTCCTCAATTTAGGACCACAGTGGAACCCAGAATTTCCTTTGCTCTGCCCACCCGCTTCTGCGCATGAACCAGTAGTAAAAAATAATAGAGACCCACCACTGGAATATGTATATATATTCTTTTGAGAGCGGGCATCAGAATTTCATTTTTTAATGTTTGCTGGAATGTTCACAGAAAAAAAGTGGCAATAAAGGTAATCTTATCTTATACGCTGCCTCTTAATATTATTTATCCCATCTAGTTTACTAGAAGACAAGAAATTAATTGAAAAGGACTATCGCAGAATCCCCAAAGCTTCTGTAAGTAAGTTTCTCACCTTATCTCAGACACCTAATTCAATGGGCTGAAAATACAACCTGCAGATTTGGGGGGCCAAATCATGAAATCAGACAAGCCCGTTAAAGTTGTAATCATGTATTTGTTTATCTGGGAACCAACAAAATTTTCACAGGGTAAATAGATGGGCCCAGAATTGTCCTATAAATCTATGAAACGTAACGGTGATTCTGGCAGCCATCCTGTCCCTCCTAATCTTCCTCTTTGATAAGCCAGGCAGACCTTCCTGGCTCCCTCAAACCGTTGTTCATCCTACAATTTAGCAAGGATGGAATGCTGTACTTTTTTTAGCGGTGCTTCCAAAGACAGGCGAGAGGCGCTTTTGTGATGACTGGAAGTGGAAGGAAGGAAGAGAAATAGCAAAGAATCCTGTATGGAACATACAGGTTTAGTCGTTGGATTTAGAAATAAAAAGGTTTCCGAAATCTTGGAACCTTGGCTTGGCTAATTTGCAAGCAAATAAAGTCTTGTCCTACCTATAAAGGAGCTCAGGGTGGAAATGAGGAGTTTGGTGCTTTCTGAGATTGGTTGTCTTCTTGAAGACGTTTCATGACCCAAACTAGGAAACATCATCAGTACTAGTCCTGATGGTGCTACCTACCGCTAACATTATCTAGTACCTAGATGTTACCTAGTTTGTCTAAGGAAACATCTGTAAGAAAACAACCAGCTCAGAGATCACTAAGGGCCTCTCAAGGTCTTGTGTTCTGTCTATTCTTTTCTGTTCTGTTCTATTCATTGTCCTATTCTTTTTTTAATTATTTATTTTTGTTACATAATATTCTTTTGTGAACAGCTACTTGTCCGAATTCCCCCTTTAATGTTCCCACCAAACGACATTATTTGTTTTACATCGTATTTCCATTGTTTCCAATTTTAGCCGTATTACTTTTCTTCTCCTGTTTTCCAATTTCTAGTTTTGAACATGTACGAACAATATAGCTTTTCTTTCTCTTTAAAAATAAACAATTTATCGCTTCTTTTCCATTTATTTTCCATTAACAATATGAATCTTCAAGTTTCAAATTTCAAGTTTTATATAATCAACATAACAGAATTATTTATCAGCTTTAAGGTTCTTAATGTAATTCGCACACATTCTAATTAAAACATATTCTTACCTTGTTAACAATCTCTCTTTCTACTAGATCATATCATTCTACTATTCTCCTATTTCTAAATTTTCTTTTTTCTTTTTCTTCTTTTTATGTGTCTTTTATCTTTTCTTCTGTATTTTCCCTCTCACTTTTCGATAGGTTTTTTGAGTATCTCTCCCCCAAGTTTCTCTTTCCCATCTCCCTTTATTTCTCTCTATTCTATTCTATTCTATTCTATTCTATTCTATTCCACTCCACTCCACTTTCTATTCTATTCTATTCTATTCTATTCTATTCTATTCTATTCTATTCTACTCTACTCTACTGTACTCTACTCTATTCCACTCCACTCCACTCCACTCTCTATTCTATTCCATTTCATTCCACTCCACTCCACTCCCTATTCTATTCTATTCCTTATTCTATTCCCTATTCTATTCTATTCCATTCCATTCCACTCCACTCCCTATTCTATTCTATTCTATTCTATTCTATTTCAATCCATTCCATTCATACCACGAGTCACTTAATTTCATTTTTTTTTTCAAGGATGCGGACAAGAGAATCAAAGCCTTGAGGGACAGTTGCGAAGACCTGCGTAAAGAAACGACGCAGAGAAGGCTAGAAATCAAAAACCTGAAAGACGACCTGTTCATAAGGCATAAGCGTCTCACGAAGGAGCACAAAGAGCTGGAAGAGCTGTTTCGAAAGCAAGAAGAACTAAAGGTAACGGAGGATCACCTGTGTAGCCGCCTACTTATAGGGCTGGGTTTGGATGCCCACCTCCAAGCTGTATAGAAAAAGCTCACAAGTATTTTGTCGATAGAGATTGTCAGCGCTCCAGGTGGAGTTGTGGGTAAGTTGACCCTAAACAACTGGGTTTTTCTTGCTGGTTTGAAATGTTTCACTGCTCCTCCAAGTAGCTTCTTCAGTCTGAGCAAGGAAGATCACGATCAAAGGGATGTTGCTAGCGGTTTGCCCCGGTTTGGGCAAACAGATAATGGAAATTGCGACTGAGTTGCCAAACCGGGAGGGATGGCAGGCTCGCCATGCCCCCGAACTGGTTCCTCGGTTGCCATGGCATCTTTCTTTTGACATTTTTAATGTTCTGCGCATGCTCCAGTGGTGGGTTGCAGGCGGTACGGGCGTACCGGTGCCTGCCCGGAGTACTGGTGCCTCCGGAGGGCCCAGCTGCCTGCCCAAGCTCCTTGCCTGTATTTGAGCTCTTTGGCACTTCCACATACACGCACAGAGCGCATGGCAACTGTGCGACGCTCCGCCAAGCAGCTGGAGCGTCACGGAGGCTCGCAGAGGCGTCGCAAGAGGTAAAGACGTATGCGTGGGCTGCACACATTCATGTGGTGGACGCTAGGCCTCGTTGTAACCGGTACAGTTGCAACAGGATCCGGAACCCACCGCTGGCATGCGCACACCTATTTACAGGCAACAGCGCGCGCACAAGGAGCGAATCGCGCATACAGCAAAGCGGCAGTAACACTGGCAGAAACCCACCCCTGATCAGGACCACTTCACAGGTTCACCGGAGGGGTGTGTGTGCACATTTAATGCTCCTCCTAAGCTAAAGAATTCATTTAGGATGTGATGCAGGAGAAGGCTCCTGTGTGTGGATAGCAAAGGTGACTAAGAAGCAAGTTCTGGATCGCGTAACATCTGACATGTCATTGGAAGGCAAAATCGCGAAACTGCATCTTACTTTGGCCTTGCCATGCAGGGGAATTCACTGGAGAATGCAAGAGCTGTGATTAGAACAGAGTATTGCAAACTAATTCTGCCAACTGCCAGCTGTTCGATTCTCACCAGGCTCAAGATTGACTCAGTGTCAAGCTGGCCTGACTGAGGCCATTTTGAGACTTCAGTGCGGAGACGCCAGAGAAGAGGGATAGTGAGAGAGGAAATAGAGATAGCCGGGGTGTTGTAGCCAAAACAGAATACTTTCTCATGGGAACCAAGGACATTCCTGCAGGTGCTCGGAAGGAGGAGATTGGAGTCACCTAGCAACTGGACAATATCCTGATTGGACCATGTGACTGATTATCTTGAGAAAGTGACAAGGCTTTCTTTTAATTAAGTGAAAACCGTGGGAATATTCAGAGTCGGTTTTCACCAGCCTGCGCCAATATGACCTATCCAATAAACCTATTCTTTGAGGAAATCGCCAGTCTCAGGGTTTTATTTGTTATGGGTCTGTTACTTGGAACCTTGACATTCAGCCTTCCATCCATCCGAGGTCAGTTAAAAGAGGACTCCAGATTGTTGGGGGCAATAGGCTGTCTCTGTAAACTGCTTAAACACAGTGCTGTAAAGCACTGTGAAGCGGCATATACCATGTTTTTTGGACTATAAGACGCACCAGAGTATAAGACGCACCATGATTTTGAAGAGGTGAATTTAAAAAAAAATAATTTTTGCACTCTGCACACCTCGTTTTGTGCAAAAAAAAGGGCATACAGAGCTTTGGGAGGCTTGTAGAATGCTGCTGGGGGGGGGGCAAAAACGAGTAAAAACGGTCCATTTTTTGCTCATTTTTGCCCTCCCTGGCCCCTAGGAGCCCTTTGCAAGCCTCCCAAACCCTCTGCACATCCATTTTTGCAAAGAGGGTGGAGTTTCGGTAGGCCAAAAATGCCATACTCAGTGTATAAGACGCACCCAGATTTTCACCCTCTTTTTTGAGGAGAAAAGGTGCATCTTATACTCCGAAAAATATGGTAAGTCTAAGTGCTATTGCTGTAGGAAGAGTTAACGGTAAAAGGAAACCAGAACGCCAAAGAACACAGCAACCGTCAAAGCTGACACCAGAACAAACGTAGAAAAACTCAAAGAAGTAGCACAAGATCGTAAGACACAGAGAGGCCTGGCCCATAAAATCACCAAGAGTCAGACTGGACTGAATGGATATCAGCCTCATCATCCTCATCGTCGTAAAGGATTTAGGTATTGTAACATTTACATCCTGACTGACCTCTGCCTATTCACCTAACGAGCCTATTCAAATTAGCTGAGAAGTGAAACCTTTCTGCGGGACATACAATCTATCAGGTCCCGCTAAGCAAGTTGCTCGGTTCTGAAGACGCTACTTGGATCAGCGGTGTAACGTTGCGAACCAAAAGAAGACCAATTGCCACAACTCAACTTCCAGACTCAAACGTATTTCAAAGGCGGGGGGGGGGGAGGGAAATAATATTCGTTTTCAAGACATTCTCTGATTGTTCCTATCACCCGGCTTGAAGTTAATTCATCCCGAGACATTCTTAAAAC